TGATCTTGGTGCTATGCTAACAGCAATCACAAAAGCCTTGGGCAACGGAGTCTGCAGGGTTGTCCATCTTCTTCAGCACACGGGCACACATGCGGCTGAACAGCGACAAGCAGGCAGGTCAACGACGGCACGACACACTGCACTACAAAACTGTGCTTCGTGGGGGGCGGCCTGGCCACCACAGCCCCCTCCAGGGGGGTTCACAGATGCACAACCCCCTCCCTCCAGCAGCAAAGCTTTGGGGATCTGTTCTCTTGCTCTCATCAGGCTTTGAACATAGCTGGCTCCTGTGGGTCCAGTCCTAGGGTCCTAAGGTGGTGGGTGGAGAGAGAGGGCCGGCGTGAGGAAGGGATCCCAAATCCATGGCTGGGGGGCAGGGGAGGGGCATGACGCATTCCAGATCTGTACAAAACTTCGGCAATGAGGCGCGTGGAAAGGTTAAAACAGTTCCGAGACGTCGCAAAATCCTTCTCGACTGTGCCGGGCCGGGCGGCACCAGTCCAACCGCAGGGACCGTGTCCAGCGGGATTGTCCGTGCCGCGGCAGCTCCGGTCTGGGGAAGGCGTCCGGCCCAGGGACCCTTTATCTCTCCGACTTCACCTTGTAGCGGAGCACCAAGTATGCCAGGAGCCGCAGGACGAGGAAGAAGATGCCCAGGACAATGAAGTCCAGGTAGAGCTTGGCCTCCTCGACATCCAGCTCCTGCAGAATGCGGGCGGGTTCCTTGAAGGGGCAGAAATCCTCCTGGCACTCCAGATCCTCACGCCCCATGGCATAAATGGTGAGGATGACGCCCTCAAAGCCATACCTGTGTGTGCAACAGACACAGCGTCACCCCGACGGGCACCAGCACAGGCAGGGCTGGCTGTTGGCATCCTGCTGGGCATTGAGGCCCATGAGGGGCAGGTCTGCACCCTGCTGCAGCCAGGAGATGCTCACAGGGGACCCCAAGCTGGCTACAGCCCTGCACCCCAGAAAGCCAGCTAAGAGGGTGCTAGAAAGGGGCTCCTAGGCCAGGCACCAGCACAAGGGTGCACCAGGGTGCCAGACAGGAGTGATACCAGCACTGCCGTGTGGCACTGAGCCTCAGGTCATCACTTTCCCCCAGGACAGCTTGAGGTCTATGCCACCAGCAAGAGGCACCAGGCTTCCCCACCCCCCCACCCATGGAGCTGGGTCTCACTGCCCCAGGAGAGGGTCCCCCAGGCACAGGGGTGCTGGAACATGCCCCAGGCCCTCCCCAGTGGAGCACCCACAGGAACACTCAAGGCCCAGTCCCGCCGCACTGCCCACCTGACGTAGGAGACGTAGGAGCTCCACTGCAGGTACGTGGGGATGGTCTTGAAGCTGACGAAGAAGCCTGAGAAGAGCAGGACGGGGATGGCAGTGACCGGCCCCACGAATGTGGCCACCTGGGACAGAGGCAGCGGGGAGTCAGGCACTGCCATAGGGCAGGGAGCCCCCTCGGCGCACATGCTGAGGCAGCTGGCTCACACCCAGTGCACGCACACGTGTGCTGGATGTCATGCCAGGCTCACTCACGCCTTCATATGTGCATGCGCTCGCTCATTAACAGTGCATGCCCTCTTGCACACACAGTCACGCACCCTCACGCCCTGGCACCGCCGATGATCACATGCTGCCCCACCCTTCCCTGGCCCCCCCAGAGCCCCTCTGACCTGCAAGGAGGTGGAGGCAGCTCCGATGAGGAGCCCCAGGGACTGGGCCACCAGGGCGGTGGAGGTGGCCAGGGCAGAGAAGAGGAGGAAGCGCGTGGCCTCGGGGGGCTGGCCCGTCATCCAGTACACGATGCTGCAGTAGGCGATGGGGCAAATCACCTGCAGGGCAGGAGGCGGAGGGGCAGGGATGCTCAGATGCCTTGGGCAGCTCCCAGCACAGGGGCTACAGCTCTGGACCCCTCCCCTGGCACAGCAGGCACCTGGCACAGGGCCCATGGGACCCTCGTGCCTGGGAGGGCTGCCCTGTATCGCCCTTCCTCCTCTCCTCACCTGGAAGGGCACATCTGCCATGGTCTTGGCCAGGTAATAGGCCTTCAGGCTGTACCAGTAGTTGAGGTGCTCTCTCAGGAACACGGACATCTCCAGGGGGACTGCGGAGGCAGAGGGGCACGGTCAGCAGGGCCGGAGCAGCAGCCTGGCAAGGGCCCTGGATCAGCCCCCAAAACCCATCTGGGTTCTGGATTCCCTGTCCCTCCCCACGGGCTCACACCAAGGGCTGGAGACTGCCCAGGAGCGAGCATCTCGGGGACCTCATAGCAGGAGCTGAAGGGCATTGGGATGGAGCTCGTTTGGCTGGAAAGCCAGGGTGCGGCAGGCAGCAGCTCTGTCCAGGCCAGGGGGTCTCTCAGAAAGACCCTGCCCCTGTCCCTCATCTCAGCATGCAGGGAGCCAGAGCTCAGCCCCCAGCAGTGCCCGCCCTGCCACCCTGGCTCAGACCCAGGCCAGGGCAGCGGCAGCCCCATGCACCAGCAGACATGGTAAAGCCAGGGATTTCAATGCAAGATCAAACCATGCCCCCCAGCCCAGGGCCTGCCTAGGATGGGGGCACTCATGAGCTCCCATCAGGGGCCCAAGGGTGGGGTGGTCTCCTTACAGGTGAGGACGGTGGGCATCAGCGCAGCAAACATGAGGAAGAGCATGGAGAAGAAGAGGAAGCCAGTGTTGTTGAAGACCTTGCTGGCATCGTTGCCGATGTGCAGGTAGAGCAGCCCGATGAGCACCCCAATGCAGACGTGCGACATGAAGCGCAGGTGCGTCAGGACCTGCCGGGCAGCACCGGACAGGCCACGCTCAGGGATCGGGCCCAGACACTCGTCACCTCCACCCGCCGCGGCCCTTGCCCTGTGCCCCTGCTGCCCTGTGCCCCCTTCTGATCCCCATTTCCCCCCGCAGGCCTGGGCTCTGGCCCCTTCACACCCGCCCCATCCTGGCAGCCCTTACGGTGTCTCTCAGGATGCACATGAAGGTTCGCTTGAAGAGGATGCAGAACTGGGTCGTGGTGCTGGTGGCGAATGTGTGGCTCTCGATGTGATCCACGTCCTGGAGCCGTGAGGAGAGGGGGAGTCAGGGACCAGCGCCTACTTCCCTGGTATCTCCCAGAGCCCAGCCAGCCCTGCCTGCTCCCTGCACCCCACCTGCCTCTCAGGCCCCGCTTGAAGGGGGTCGTGCCCATCGGCTGGGCAGGGTGGCAGCATGGGGCTGCCAGGGGCATGGGAAGAAATCCCTAGGGGCTCTGCAGGACGACCCACTTTCCCACCCCACAGCGGACAGCCAGGGCCCGGCGTGGCAAGCTGACCCAGCCTGAGCTCACCGTCAGGCAGTGGGCCGGGCACGAGGGATCGTTCTTGTCGGGGCTGCTCTTCTTCTCGACCATGGTGCACATCCCGTTCTGGACGGCGCGGAACAGGACGGGGTTGAGGTCTCCGTACTCGCCCGAGGCCACCTCAATAACTGGGGACCCACAGAGCAGGGGCTGAGCCGTGCCAGGTCCAGCCGCGCTCCCGCCCAGCCCCAGTGCCAAGCTCCGGGGTCTGGCTTGGGGAGCCAGAGCAGAGGCTGATCCCCATGGGGTGCGGGCCAGTGCAGGGCAACCAAGGGCCCACTCCCCTCCAAGGCTCTTGGGGCACTTGGCGAATGTCCCTGCCCCGAGCTCTGAGGGAGGCAGTGGAGGGGACCTGCCACGCAGAAAATGCAGCTGCTTCTGCGGGGTGGATAGTGGTAGCTCAGCCAGCCACCATGCAAGGAGTTTAGGACAGGAAGGGAGGGATGCTCCCACACCCCAGGACAGGCTCGTGTGAGCTGGAGCACGCTGGGACAGCGGCCCGAGCGTCCCAGCTCCCAGGGCAGCTGGGGGGAGCTCCGGGCGGTGGGGCCAGCCCGGTCCCCCCCAGCACCCGCAGGGAAGGCAGGTTGGCACAGGCTGGGCACTTACTGAAGTCGGCAGGGTTGTGGTAGGTGGGACAGTACAGGCCCAGCCCCTTCAGGTATGGGATGAGGTTGGTCACCACCCCCTTGAAGATGCACTGGCCCTGGCTCAGGATGTAGAGCTGCAAGAGAGCACAGGCAGGGGTGGCAGGGCGCCGTGCGGACCCCAGGCCCCAGACCCAGCGCAGCGGGGAGGACTGGGGTGGGGGCTGACCTTGTCAAACATCTCAAAGAGCTTGGCGCTGGGCTGGTGGATGGTGCAGATGATGGTGCGGCCGCCCTGGGCCAGGGACCGCATGAGGGAGACCACCTGGAAGCAGGAGGCGCTGTCCAGGCCGCTGCAGCCGGGGACGGGGGGCAGGGGAGAGAAGAGGGGGCAGGTGAAAACAGGCAGGGAGGAGACGACGCAGCTTGTGTGCAGGGGCTTTGTGGGGGGCTGCCCAGCTGCCCCTGGTCTGAGGACTCAGCCCCGACAAAGCCCTGGCCCCGCTGGCTCCTGGCTCACCCCACAATGGCCCAGCTGCAAAGCCTCCCAAATTCCCACCCCGGGGTCACTGAGCCAGGCAGGCCCTAGGATGGGGTCTCTGGGGACGGGGGCAGGGGAGGGCCAGGCCACGCGGTGCTCACCTGGTGGGCTCGTCGAAGAACATGACCGGGGGGTTGTTTACGAGCTCGAGGGCAATGGCGAGGCGCTTGCACTGGCCCCCGGACAGCGACATGGTGCGGGTGTAGGAGCACTCCAGCAGCCCCAGCGCTGTCAGGATCTCGTTCACCTGCACCCCACGCACATGCAGACATGCACAGACACATGCACACACAGACACACACATGCACACATAGGGTCACTTGTGAGTGAGCTCAGGGCCCCCGATGCCACCTGCCCTGCATGGCGCAGGACAACATCTCCGAGTGCCCCCGTGCTTTGGCAGGGGCTGGCACACCCAGCACGTCTCCCTGCCTCTGCCCATGTCCCAGCCGGGTCCATGGAGGGCTGGGCCATGCTGGTCTCCCACGGGTGCCTCCTCCCACCACACCCTTGTCACCGAGTCCCCAAACTCACCAGCTCCTTCTTCACCTCTTGCTTCTCGCTCAGCTTCAGGTTAGCAGAGACCTGGGGGGACGGGAGAAGACACCGGGGCTCAGGAGCAGGCTGGCAGGGCAGGGTAGGTGCCACTCAGCCCCCAGCTGGATGTAGCAGGGAGTGGGGGGCAAGAAGAGCCCCCCACCACCCTGCTATGAGCATCAGGCTCCCTAATCACAGCAGCTCCCAGCCGCAGCTGGGACCACCAAGGGCACTTGCGTTGCTCCCACGTGGTGCCAGCCAGAGCCCGGTGCCCAACCCCAAGGGCCAGACAGGTCCGACCCCCTACCCACGGGCACTCACCATCATGGCCTCCAGCACGGTGAGGTGGGGCAACAGCATGTCGTCCTGCATGATGTAGCAGGACATCTTGCGGAAGGTGCGCAGGTCCCGTGGCCGCCCGTTCACCAGGATCTGCCCCTTCATCCCCGTCTCCCTGGAGACACGGGCGAGTGCTGGTGAGGAGCGGGCAGCCCCGTGCCCTAGGTGCCTGCCGGCGAGACCCCGGCTCCCCATCACTGCTCCCGGGGCGCCAGCCCTGCAGCACAGCCCCCCTCCTGCACCCCGGCCCGGCCTCACCTGTACCCGGCCAGGATATTCATGAGCGTGGACTTCCCGGCGCCCGAGGGACCCATGATCCCGATGAGCTCACGCCTGCAAAACTTCCCACTTAGGCATTTCAGCAGCGTCTTGTATCCTGGGGACAGGGGGGAAGCCTTGAAGCCTTGCCGAGCAGCCCAGAGCCTCTTTGGATGATGCTTTAGGCCAAGGCAAGTGCCTGGGTGCATGGGTGGGGGCTCCCAATGAGTGGAGTGTGGACCCAGAGACTGTCCAGCCCTCAGCTAGGCAGGACGCACAAGTCCCGTATGGCTGCGGGTGGGCTCTGCAGCCCCCTGGGTCAGAGAGGGGAAACTGAGGCACAGAGCAGCCTGGGCTCTGAAAATCATCCACCTACACATCCAGCCCCTCAGCAACTCTCCTGCACAATCGCAGCCCCAGTCCCACACTAGAAGCTTGCAAGATCGTCCGGTACTGCTCTGGCAATGCCTCCCTGCAGACCCGTCCCATCAGCCCAGGGTGGAGCTAGCAAGGCTGTGCCCTGGCTGAGCCAGAGGAGATGGTACCTGCAGTGCCAGGACCCTAGAGCAGATGGCCTACAAGACAGGTAGCCTATTGCCAGCCTTGGACCGGGACAGCAGGGTGCTGAATTTCATGAGACGGGGAGGCTGAGCTGGGGGGTGCCAGAGACGGGGGCGAGGGGTCTGGGCAGCCCTGGCACACACTGAATGGGGCAGGGACCACAGAGCAGACAGGTGCAGCTGCTCAGGCCCAAAGGAGACCACCTCCCAGCCCAGGCCTCTCCCCAAATCTCTGAGACGACAGCGGCTGCACTGGGGTGCACCAGGATGAAGAGCCTGTGGCAGCCCTGGCCCCTAGGCCCCACAGTGGCTGGATCCAGGGCTGAGAACTGCTTTTGCATTCATGCCGTGATGCAACAGCAGCCACTAATCAGACCTGGAGTTAATGCATCACATGCCTGATTAGCAGGTTGTGGAGCCGGAAGCTCGGTGTCTGGGGAGCGCGTGCCCCGGGAACTGGCTCTAACAGGGGGTGAAGGATCAGCATGGGGACCAGGACGGAGGGGGCATGTCTCACAAAGCAGATAGGCTCCTGCCTCCTGCAACCCATCCAGCTGCAGGCAGCCAAGGCCCACCCAACTGCAGGCTTCAGGACTTCAGTGGCGGGGTCCAGCCCTCCCAGGGCTGGGGAGGTCAGGCTTGGGCAGGGAGCAACAAAGCAGAAGCTGCCTGCCAGCTGGAGCACCTGCGTACATCATAGGTCCTGTACTGCAAGGGCCTAGCAGGGATTCTGCCCTGGCTTGAGGGGGTCCACAGCCCAGTCCCTGCAGCTGCATGCGGTGCACCGCACGCAGCACCCTTCCCTCCCTTGCCAGGGAAGGCACAGATCCAGCATCAGGCCCAAGGATGCCCAGACAGCTCTGCTCTCGGCGTGCCCTGTCCTGCCCCTCCGCGGCCCTCCCGGGGAGCTGGACGGCTGTCTGACCCGCCGAGTGACCTGGCTGGAGCCGCCGGCTCGGCCCCGCGGGAGGCAAGGAAAGGGGGGCACGCACAGCGCCTCCCTGCCGAGCCAGCCGCCGTGGCTCCCCGCCCCCACTGCCGCTGTCACCAGCCCCGCATGGATGCTGCTCACGTCCATCGACTGCAGCCTGCAGCGCGGTTACTTGAGTTCATTGACTGCCAGTAACCCCGCGGCCGCGCAGACAGCACGCAGCAGGCTGCCCACCCGGCCCCCCACCCCCAGGCTGCTGCCGGGGGTGCCAGCCAGGGCAGGGGCTGCACGCAGGGCATCGGCATCCACCTGGGCCCCAGCTCAAGGGCTGCAGGCTCCTTCTCAAACAGCCCCCCAACAGCGGCCCCCTTTGCCTATCAGCTCCTGCCCCTTTGCAGCCCCACTCCCTGCTCACAGGCAGATCGGGGGTTGGCAGAGGCTTGGCAAGGATCTCCTCTAGAAGGCAGCACGGCTTAGTGGGGGGAGCTGGGCAGCCAGATGCCTGGGCTCTCCTCTGGGCTCTGCCACTGACTCATGGGGGGACCTCTGGCATGTCCCCACTCCATGCCCCAGTTTCCCCATCTGTATCACTGCAGCACTTCCCAAGCTCCAAGCAAGGGCCACAAAGGTGCTGGACAAAGCCGCTCCCTGCAAAAAAAGCCTGGACCAGCCGGGCACCAAATACCGCCAGCAACGCACCTCTGCCAGGCAGCCGGGACCTCAGCCCCTGCAAACTTGAGCCAGCAGTGCCAGGATCCCAGCCCTCCCCCAGCTATGCTGGGATCTCCTTCTCATGCATCTCCTGGGACCCTCTGATTGGCATCCCAATAATGAGGGGAGCTAATTAAAGCAGACTACCACCCACCAGCTGCCAGCTGCCTGTTCCCCTCCCCGTCGGCTCTCTGGGGCCCAGAGCTGCACCCAGGCGCAGGGGTGCCAGAAAAGGCCCTGGAGACACAGTCCCTGGGCAATCCTGTCCTGCCTTGCTACTCAAGCCCTCTCCCCAACTTCCACTGGAAACCAGTGCCCTTCGCTGCCCTGCCCCAGAGGTGGCTGCATTTCACCCCCTGCACCCCAAGAGCAGGGAGAGGCTGGGGATAAGGCCTCGGGAGCCACGTCCTCCAAACAGCCCCTAGCTGCCCCAGACCTCAACACATCACACCTACCCTGCGTGCATGGGAATAGGAGCGGGAGGGACCTGCCCCAGCCCCTCACTGCCGCAGGGGCCCAGGTGGGAGCAGCAGGTGATTGCTATTCACTCGGCAGTCATGGCTGCCAGGCCCGGGTGCTCAGCACTGTACAGACACAACCTGAGGGCAGCTCCTGCCCGGGCCGGGAATCGCTGCGGGGCCTCTGCCCCCTCCTGTCCTGCCAGCACCGAGGAAGCACATGGAGCAAAAGGCACCTCCCTTTTGCCCTGCTCTGCCCCCCAAAGCCCCCCAGCTAGATCTCCTGGGTCCCCAGCTCCTGGGGGCCTCTGCCCCCAGTGCCCGCGAAGCCGCCTACCTCTCTTCTTCCACCAGGAGCCCTCGCGGACGGAGTAGGACAGGTCGATGAACTCGATGTCCACGGCTGAGCGTTTGGGCAGGTGCGAGAAGCGCTGGGCCTCTGTGATGTGGTTCTCCACCTTCTTCAGGTGGGTGGTGAGGAGCGGGGCATCCTGGGCGCCAGTGTGGCACACCGTGTCCTCCAGGGCGATGGAGACGCACGCAGGGTCCAGGCCCTTCTCAGCCATGGTGCCGCGCTGCGGAGGGAGCATGCACGGCCCTCAGCTCACCCCAACAGGCAGCACCCGGGTTTCCCAGGCACCCTGGGCTGGGTACACATGTGCATGCCCTGCCCTTCGGGGTGCCGTCCTGCTGCCATCCTGCTGCCCCCAGCCATGCTGGCTCTGGGGGTGACACACCAGCCACTTCTAGGGCATGCCCAAGTCCCCAAGGATTAACCCCACCAGGGCTGGCGGGCACAGTGCTGGCCCTGCCAGGTCCCAGGAGAGCAGCAAGGATGTTGCTGGCAGCAGCAAGGGCAGAGCAGCCGGGGGAGAGACGTGCACTCCTGGCAGCCCCCTCGGACAGCTCTGGACCCCTCCGCTCCCCTGAGAGGACTCAGCTGTGGCTGGACAGGGCCCCCAGCTCAACCTAGACCTAGGAGAGGTGGCCTTAGCCCCGCCAGCCCCCACGCTGCCGCGGCTCAGCCCTGCCCCAGAGGGGCTCCCGACAGCCGTGGATCTGCTCCACCTCAATAATTCATGGCGCTCCCACGGCTGCGCCGATGCTGGGCCCAGCTCTGGGCTCTGGCAGCAGGGCTGGGAGGGGCAGGGGGCCCTTCTCCAGCGAGGTAGGGAGCAGGATCTCCCCCCACCCAAGCCCCCTCCATCCTCGCTGCACAGGGCAGAGATTGGGGGTGCCCTGCTACATCCAGACAGGAGACTCCTCCAGGGCCCAGCCCCACATGCTGTCCCAGGGAACAAAGCAAGCAGCACCCCCACCCCGTCCCCGCTGAGGGGCTGGCAAGGAAGGAGGGTGCTGGAAGCAGCCCTGCTGCGATTAGGTCATCAGGACGCAGCTGATCTCATGGGCTCCCGGGTTGCTCCCAGCACCCGCAGCTGGCCCAGCTGGGATGGCCAGGAGGGTCCCAATCCCTGCCTGCATGCTCCCATCCTGCCCCAGCTCTCCCCGCAAGGCTGGGCCTGCATTCCCATCCACCCCAGGAGCATCCAATTTGCCTCCCTGTGTCCTACCCCCCCACCCTGGGGGGTGTCCCAGCCTCCCACCCGAGCCTGCTGGCACCTGGGGGGTGCAAAGCAGCCAGCGCATCCATCCCATGGTAGCGGAGCTGCCTGGGGATCCTTCTACAAAGCCCAGGGGAGGCCCCTTCAGAAAGGGGTGGCATGGTGCCGAATGCCCAGGCGTGCCCCTGCCACCCTCGCTCACAGGCTCTAGCCCCATCTCACTGGCGCGGATGTGAATGGGGAGCAAGGGGCCCTGCTGCCTTGATGTGGGCAAGTGTGGCAGGCTGGGGGGCAAGGCAGGCCCCTCACGCTGCTCCCCAACGTACACCCATCCTCCTCCCGGGGCTTGGGCCGTAATGCTCCCTTAACCTACATTGCACTGGGCTGCAGCCTTAAGCCCCGTTCTTGCCGTGGCTGCATTGCACACAAACACACACACACACCCCGAGCATCCTCCCGACAGCCGCGCACACCAGGCTGCAGGATGTCTCCCCCCCTCCCCGATGCAGCGCATCCCTGTCAGGGCTGGAAAGGCTCCAGCCCCAGCCCCACCCTGGGTAAAACAAGGCCATCGTGGCCCACTGCCCAGCTCCCCCCCCAGGCCCCACACCACTCCCCGCCCTCCCTGCACCCTAGGGACCGAACCGATCCCTGCAAGGGCTCCTCAGAGCCCGGCTGAGCGATGGCAAGCCCCCGAGGTGGGTGCAGGGTCTGTGCTGAGGGGCAGGGTGGCGGGAGCCCCTGGTGCCCTCAGGATCACCTTGAGCCCTTGAGCTGCTCATTACCGAGATGTCAAATCCCCCAAGCTGCTCGCTCAGGCTTAAGGGGGGTGGGGGCAGATTAGCCCAGGTTGCCCCCAGGCCTCTCCATCCCTCCCCCCTGCCCCCTCCCCCTTCCAAACTGCAGCAAAAAGGCCCAGCCCCTGCTTGTATCCACATGTCGCCCCCCCACTGCCAGGCAGGCCGGACCAGCCGTCCCCGGGTTTGGGGTCTGGGGGGCAGACAGAGAACAAAGGGAGCTGGGTGTGCACCCCACTCACCTTGACAGGGGGCTCCACGCCGGGTCCTGTCCCTCCCTCACGGGGTCCCTGGCTCTGCAGCTCCTGCTGCCTGGACTCCCAGAGGCTGGGGCATCTGCGACGCCCTCCCCTTCTCCCAGGCAGACAAAGCCACCCAAGTCCCAGCTTCACGTGCCCACGGGAGCCAGAAGCTGCCAGGTTACTGCAGCCGCCCAGCCCAGCCCTGGCGCCTGGGATGTGCTACCCACTGCAGTCCCCAGCAGGCGTCGGCTTCCCCATCCCCTGCAGGCGGGGGATGGATGGAGGGATGCAGGGAGGGATGGAGGAGGGATGGATGGATGAATGGATGGATGGAGGGGTGGGCACCGGTCACCCCAGGCACTG